GTGTAGATCACCGCCCCATACCTAGGGGTTTAGGTTACAGGTTTCTGTAACCAAACAAAAGTTCTTTCGATAAACAGGATTGCGCATTTTCATCATTTTGTTCAACGGAGTGCGTAATCAAACAAATTCTGCTTTAATCTCATCTGTGATTAAGTTGCATGGAGGCTAAAATAAAATCACATTGGAAGAAGAGTCAACCTACCCTGTATCAACTTCGTCTGAGCTGAATGAGTGATAAACAGGACGAGCCAAATTGGTCAGGCTCCGCGGAGAACGAGAATCCACACATGTTCCGGTGCCCAAACTACCAGCCGTCAATTGGGGAGTACCAAAGCGAGACTGGATCACAGTGGAGGGAGCGGTCTGGGGCCTATTGGGATGTTGATGACGCTGTAAATGTGCAAGCGAATGTGTCCTGGCGTGAGTTCCATTCATCAAACTCGGTGTGGCGAGTGAACGAACTTTACTGTGTGTGGCTAAATGTGACTTCAGATTGGTTGACTGTGCAAAGCGTTTACTACAGCCAGGTTGTGGACACGGATAAGGTCGATCGCCCGTGTGAATACGCAGATGTGTGCGCAGATTGAAGTCCAGTGAAAATCGTTTGCCGCAACCCTGAGAACGAAGAATAAATGAAAATGTTAACACTCTACTGGACTGGAAAATGGCAAACATCAATGATCGTGAGGATCGTCAATAAATGTGAATCCAATGCTAGAAACGGAAGAAACTAACCCTTTATGAAATTAATCCATCCCCACGTAAACGTAACTCATCGAAAAGTAATTGAAAATTATTGTTTTCGATTATAGTTTGGAATGCTCCAAAGTTACTGTTTGCATCGCATCTTCACGCGGGGCCTTTGAATTCGGCAGCGCCATTTAGCTCGAAAATTATATTTACACCTTTTTGTGGATTTATTCGTCATCAAGTCACATCGTTATCAATTTCAAGGATACTAAATGCCATCCTACACGAGCACGAGCACATAAAACAAAAGAATAAGGGACTTCCCCGTTTTTCACAGTTCGCGGAAAATGGAGTATTTAAAGACTACTGTTAGTAGTCTTTCGTAGACATTTTAAGAGTGGCCTATGGCGGGTCTCACGACCAGATGATACATCACAAAGAGATTGTACCTAGAGGTAGTGTGACGGCTTGTGCATCCCTGTGACCCAACAAGCTACACAGGATGGTTTTTATCAAATAAGGAGATCTTATCATGCCTGAAAGGTCAGAGGGTAGAGTTCAGACAAAGTCCAGTCACCTGGACCTCCAGTTTGGGGGTTCCACTCAAGTTAGCGTCTCAGTCGGTAAAATGGCAGCGGAACGATTGATCCAAGTAAATGGAACCCCACTTCGCTTTACCCGCTGCCTTGTTAGAACTAAAAGTTTTGGACGAGAACCCTAATCGCTCTCCTGCTAAGTGGCTGAACACCCTGGCAGTATCCGTCCATCAAACTCTAATGCATATACAAACTAAAAATAATTCCATACTGCATCCGTCGTCGCGCAGGATAATCAGAACCGCACTGCCTACTGCATCGAGCGGAGTGAGTAGTGATAAACAGGCTACTGCTTAGACATCCCAACCTTTGTCTTTTGTACCCAGCCCTCTTTTTACTCCATCTTCCGGCCCGTAACATTTCCTTAGACTTGTTCGTCACTCGCGAAATTTCGCTACCAAGCAGCGCGGTAGTTAGTTCCCCAAAAATTCACTGCAGATTCTGAAGGGCCGTCAATCACTGAATCTAGAGGCCCTTTACCGTGAGGACTCTGGTGCAAGTGGGTCAACAAGCTAGTCTGGCGCGTACAATGGACACCTTGGGGATTAAAGTCTGCTGCGTATCGGAGACGCGAATCTAAAATCCTAATACTATAAGCCACTTAAGTGCACCACATTTGTCTTCGAGTAACTTCCTCCACGATTCAGGTGACGACGAAGACCGTTCAAGTCAGCGTGGCGTAGGCAGTATACTCTACGATACAGCCGAAACGTCACTAATCGATTGGATCCCTGTCAACAGTCGTTTATGTGTAGTGCTTCTCGAGAGTTCAATCAGCGCCTGGAAAGGAAGCAACACCAAAAGGTGTTTGTTCATCATATTGGCATAGGCACCGACTAATTGCAGTTCTGATATACAAAAGGAAGCTCTCTACGATAAACTCATTGACTCATCCGGATGAGTCGAAGTTCCGATATAGCTATACTTGCATGTTGAAAAACTGCGCGGATCAGAAGCTGATTTAGGTGGTAGTTGTGCTCTGTCCTGCCAGCGAACAGATAACAGTGATCGACTTCTTCAATTCTGTGCAGACCATCATGTTCCTATCCAGTACTAACTTCCGACACAGCTCTCGACGGACGGCAACGTGGCGCTCCAGTTCAACGGGTACGCTAACTCAAATCAACCACATAACAGTAAGCTACCGTTAGCGTGGCTGTGTGCAATTGCAGGTTCTATTGGACCACCTGCATTGAATCTGACCACGCACTATATATCTGTATGTGCATAATAGGAAAAATACACCATGACTACGAAAATATTGTGAAATCTTGACCAGTGGATAGTGGATTTAAATTTCCTAGTTGGAGTTCCTTTATAGATTCAATGGGACTGAAAACACAAGACAGCACGGTTCTGTCGCGCAAATTCGTTGGCGCACCTCTTTGGCTTCATCATTTTCCTAATGCAATACACTCCATAATTTTTGACCGGGCGGGTTCGCTATCCCCATCACGTAATAGGCCCGCAGAACATTTCACACCAGTATAATACATCAGGCAACTGTGACCGCGCCACACGCAGGCGCACTGTCCTATTTGCGTGCACGCGGTCAGTAACAGTAAATACGAGCAGCGTCAGATGATACGCCATTGCATTTAGTGCACGCTGCGTATGCGTGCCGGGGACGCGATTTCCCAGTTACCAGTTACTGGATATTTGGATCAGCAAAAATAATTTCTTTGGAGTTCTGTCACAAACTGTAACTAACATCCGAGTACTATCATCCAAGGTTAACGATTGCATGAAACCGAACTGAGATTAATTTTATGATGATTTGCGAGGTAGCTACTTGCAAGATCACTGACCCGATGAGCGAAACAACACGGAAAATAGCCGCAAATAGTGGGGAAGTTGCATGAAAAAACGGACACTATGACGTGGTTCGATACTGAAACAAATGCAGGACTCAAAACAACACAATCTTCACCGGTCACAACCTTACTTCGAATGTACATTGATAGGGTTTCTCGCCAGTATGTACCAACTGATGGCGTTTAAGTTTGCTAGATTCCACAAAGGCTTTACCACATTCCCCACAGATGTGGACGCGTGGACCGTGTGTGTGTAGATGTTTGCGCATGGCGGCCGTGTCCCGGAATGTTTTCCCGCAGCCCAGTTGTGGACATATTACAGTTCGGTGGTGTTCGGTCATTTCGGCAGCGCGGAGGCCAGAGGTTGCACCAATCGTAGCTGTGACTACGGTGGCCATTCGAGCGGTTGAATCTGCACTGTGCGAAGCGGATATGTAGAATCCAGTTGACAGACCGGACACACTTATACGATTACGATGAAGAGAAGCGCGAGAAAATAAATCCACAGCAGAAGGTGCTGAAGAGGAAAGGAATTAAGGTTCAGTTTACACACTCTCGAACGAAGGAGTAACTACCTCAGATTATTTCATGTTTTGGGGAAACGTTCAGGATAAATGTTAATAATAACAGTAACGCAAAGTCCGGAGATCAGACGTCAACATTATCATATAGTAAATAAAGTCAAGCGAACTTCACTCGCCGCTGTCACATTCACAATACACGAAGTAAATAAAAATACATAAGGTGGATGGGATGTGGACCTGATATGAGGGAAGGAAACATAGAGTGAAAAATCTAACTAGGCAAACACGTTCAAGTATTCTGGCCTGATAAAAATAACAAGAACTAACTGTAGTTGATTTGTTGTCACGTCTTTCGATGTCTCAAACAAACTGGTAATTGAGGCATTCGGACCCCAAACAGGGTGATGCCTAATCTACCTAACTGCTCTGTGCATTTTTCCATACCTCGTCTACACGTCGCCTGTTGGCCTCCGTGTGACTTTCTCAAGCGGTAACTGATGTACTGAGGTAGACCACAGTTAGGCATTCGTAATAGTGTATTTACCATTGAAGTCTACTTATCTGAATTCGATGCAATAAAAAATTCTTCATCGATGCATTCCCAAACACGTAACGATCTATACTGAGATTATTAGCCCACCCACTAGATTCTATCAGCGTGAAACCATGCAAAAAATGACAGTCGAATACCTCCAGACGATGAATCAGTTTCAGTTTCGTTTATACAACCACTAACTGTGCACTTCCGTGCGCTGGTTTTAGTTGCTATCTTTTGGCTGCCCATTGTGATGAATAGTAGAACAAAGATAGGAAGGTTGAGAGTGGAGAATTTCAGTGGATCAAGGTTGTGGAGAAACTGAGATGCGCGAACACCACTGTTTATGACTTTCAGTCATATCACTCAGTGTCTCTAACCATCGGCTATGATCATCCCGAGGTTCTCATCCAGGGAGCCTAACGGGACCTATGTAACCCAGACTCCTGGTTAGGGTTTTCATACTCTCATACCAGGTCTTAGCTTGACCACCCTGGGCTTTCTTCCACCCACTACCTGCCTCGACCAACATCGCTCGCCGTGGCAACCTATCTGGTGACATGCCTGACACATACCCCAACCAACGTATTCTACGGAGGTCGACCACTTGCTCCAGTGGGCGACCGCGGTTACCTAAAACTCTGCGCCTAACTTCAGCATTGCTCGTCCGGCTGCCCCACCAGATTGGTGCAATGCTGCGTAGACAACGGTGTTCAAAAACCGTCAGTCTATCTTTGTCCTGTTTTCTTAATGACCAAGTTTCTACTCCGTATAGCAAAACTGACCGAACTGCCGCAGCAGTTAGCGTCTCAGTCCGTAAAGTGCTCAGTGGCTAGATACCCTAGCAGTACCCATCCATCAAACTCAGATGCGTACACAACCAAAAAATAATTCCATACTGCATCGGTCGTCGTGCAGGATAATAAGGACCACGCTGCCCATTGCATCGAGCGGAGAGGGTAGTGATAAGTGGGATACTGCTCGATTTTCCAACCTTTGTTTAACTCTTCCGTACCCGACCCTCTCCCTTTACCCCTTCTTCCAACCCGTAGCATTCCCTCGGACAACTTGTTCTTCCCCCAGTAGCTCGGTAAGTAGTTTACCACAAAATAGAGTGCAGATTCCGAAGTCTCGTCAAACACTGAATCTGGGGACTTTCAACATGAGGTCTCTGATGCAGGTAGGTCAACAAGTGTGTCTGTCGCGTACAATGGACGCTTTGGGGATTAATATCTGCTGTGCGTCGGAAACTCAAACCCAGGATCTTAGTACTATATGCTACTTAGATGCCCTGGGGTTGTCTTCGAGATTCTTCTTCCGCACGTGATGACGAAGCCCGTTCAGAAGGCTAGCGTGGTGTTGGCATTGTACTCAACAATACAGCCGAAGCCGCACTAATCGATTGGATCCCTGTCAGCAGCCTCTTATGTGCGATGCGGCTCCGGAAGGGAAGCAACACCAAAAGGTGTTTATTCATCATTTCAGCATATGCACCAAACAACTGCAGTTCTGACGCACAAAAGGACGAGTTTTATGATAAACTCACTGAACTCATTCGATTGAACAAAAGCTCCAATATAGTTGTTCTCGCAGGCGATTTTAACACTCAAGTTGGAAAACAGCGCATCCGAAGCTTGCCTGGACGGTCATTGTGCTCTGCTCTGTCAGCAAACAGATAATGGCGATCGACTTCTTCAGTTCTGCTCGGACCATCATCTGTTCCTATCCAGCACCGACTTCCAACACAGACAGCAGCGTGGCGCTCTAATTCAACTGGCACTCTAACTCAGATCGACTACATAGCAGTAAGCTACCGTTGGCGTGGTTCAGTACAAAACCGCAGGTCCTATTGGACCACCTGGGTTGAATCTGATCATGCGTTAGTTTTAATGCAGTTCACTCTCCAACTCATTGATCGCAGAAAATCCCTTCAAACTCAATTGGCAGATCATCGTTTATCTGACTCAGCCGTTCGTGCCCGTTTTGAATCAGAACTAAAGAAAGAGCTAAATGCACTGCAGGGTGGTAGTGTAAATGAATAATAGGATCAGATTAGCCGAGCAATGCACTCCGTAGCGAAGGTTGCTTGTGAATTGGAAGCCCGCGCGAGGCATTGGATATTTGATGAGTCAGTCGCACTGATGGAGAAAAAGCGGCAAACACCGTCCGCTCGGGATCAAGGCAGGGTTAGGTGGCGTCTGCAACGTCAACTCAAGAAGAGCCTCAATACGGGAGGTCGGCGAACTACAGTTAGTAAAACAATCTGCTGCAAAAGTGGACAGGCTATTCACAATAGGGAACAACGGCTTGACTGGCGGGGGGGGNATGGGGGGGGGGGGCGATGACCTTGTAAACTCCATTACTGATCTCATGCGTAACATCTGGTCACACGAGCGCATTCCAGCATCGTGAAGTGAATCACTGATCGTTCCAATTTTTAAGAGGGGATCTTGCAACGACTGCGCAAACCACCGTGAAATAAGTTTGATCCCAATCGTCACGAAGTTACTATCCTCCATTATACTTCGACGTCTGACGCCGTTTAGGGAGACAAACATCTGTGAACAACCTCTGGTAGCGTAAGGGTCTACGGAGAACTGAGCACGTCGTTCGTAACTAAGATCGGTGTTTGTCAAGGGTGCCCTCTTTCGCCATTCTAATTCAATTTCGTCATAGACGAAATACTGGAGAACGCACTTAGTGGTCTCCAAAATGTATGTATTGAATGGGTAGCTGGAGAAAAACTGCGATCTGAAGTACGCTGGCGACATTGTCTGCTTGTTCGAATATTTGGAAAATACACAAAAAGCACTTGACAGATTAGCAAATTCTGTCGCTCCGTTAAACATGCTTTGCACCTTCAAAGTGCAAGGTGATGCTACAAGACTGGGCGCCGCCAAGTTCTTTTCTGAAATTAGCCGAGGTTGATTGCTTCTCGTACTTAGGTAGCTGCGTGGCCAGGGACGGTAGCGCATCAAAGGAGATAACCGCCTGGATTTCCAAGGCTCGAGCAGCGTACGCAGGACTTTAACACATGTGGCGGCCACGTGGCGTGTCACTAAAGTTGAAAACTCGCGTTTGCTGCGCCACCGTACGATCAGTTCAACTTTACGGTTGTGAGACCTTGAATTTGCGGGTAGAAGACACCCGTCGTTTAACAGCGTTCGACAATCAATGCTTACGTAAACTGGCCCAGGTTGAATGGAGTGAGCGGGTTAGTAACTTAGCAGCAAGTCGTCGGGAATACATCAATCAAGAACTCGCTATCACATCGAATCCAGCTAAGTAAGCTCCGTTGGTTAGGACACGTTTTGTCTTTCGTACCCAACCATATCCCTTTACCTCTTCTTCCAACCCGTAATATTCCCTCAGACAACTTGGTCGTCACTCGCCAAAGGTCTTTACCAAATAGCGCTGTAAACAGTTTTCCGGTAAATAAAGTATAGATTTTGAAGCCTGGTCAACCTCTCAATCTGGGGGCTTTCAACGTGAGGGCTCTTATGCAGGCGGGTCAACAGGCGTGTCTCGCGCGTGCAATGCAGTCTCTAGAAATTGATGTCTGTTGCATATCTGAGACACGAATTCAGGATCCCAGTATTATAAGCCAACTGCGTGCGCCGGGTCTGTCCTCGAATTATTTCCTTCCCACATCAGGAGACGACGCAGCCCGCTCACTGGGTCAGCGTGGTGTAGGTATCGTACTAAACGATAAAGCTGAAGCCTCTATGATAGATTAGATACCCGTCAATAGTCGTCTGTGCGCAATGAGACCACAGGGATCAGTTAGTGTTCGGAAGGGTAGCAACACCAAAAGGTGTTTGTTCATAATTTCCGCGTATGCACCAACCAACTGCAGTCCCACTTCACAAAAGGACGAATTTTACAAAAAACGCCGAACTGATTCGGTTGAGCCGCAACTCTGATATTATAGTGCTGGCAGGTGATTTTAACGCGCAGGTTGGAGAACTGAGCGTATCCGAAGCCTGTCTAAGAGGACACTTCGCCCTTCCCGCCCAGCGAACAGACAACGGTGATCGACTACTTCAGTTCTGCGCGGATCGCCGGCTGTTCTTATCTAGCACCAACTTTCGACACAGTTCTCGTCGAACGTCTACATAGTGTTCTAGTTCAATGGGCACATTGACCCAAATTGACCACGTAGCCGTAAGCTACCTTTGGCGTGGTTCAGTACAAATTTGCAGATCCTATTGATCCACCTACGTTGAGTCGGATTATGCACTAGTTCTGCTACGCTTCGCTCTTCGACTCATTGGTCA